ACTCTTACTTCACTATGTGATAAGTAGAAGTAAGCAGAGGAATCGAACACGAAGAACACTCAGCTTATTCATACTGACAAAGTACCCCTAAGGGTTTCCACATGAAAGCCTCGACTTCCACTACATTTTCAAGATATTTGAATTCGTAAGGCAAGGATGGTGCTTAAACACTACTTCCCGCGCCACAACTGATTTAACAAGTTGGTATGGTGCCAAAAGCCCAGTTTTATACAAGCAAAGTGGCAGCGGCGCTGGCCACTGTCGGTCGACTTCAGAAGAGAAGATGACTTGGACTTCAGTGTTACATGGGGGGACTGTGTTTTTTTCTTCGATTATGTGCTTTGTGAGGCAGGGTCAAGCGAGGCGTTGAGGAAAATTTGGAAATACGACCCCCCCCCCCCACCACCCTCCGCCGGAGGCCGAAGTCCATGAAACAACCCTCTTCAAAAGCCGAACTATGAAAAGGTTGAAAAGCTTGTTTAATTCTCCCCCAAAACTGCTCATAAAAAAGCCCTGCTACCCCACCGCCCACAAAAAAATTCGTTTAAGAAGTACAAAAGTGAAAAAGTCAAAGAATAATCATTATTGATGAGTCCTACCAAACGAGCAAACGAGAAACAGACCAGAAAACGACAAACTAGCCACTAAAAATGGCATACTATGACAACATCTCTTCTTTATTTATTTCCTCCACAAGACTTACCAAATTCTAGTACTACACAGATTATGGTTCTCAATTTACACGTCCCCCTTTCGCTCAAAGGAAGCCTTGTAAAAGCCTTCGCCAGCTGTGTGTTGACTGGACTTTGGCGTTGACCGTGGAGCAGCTTATTTACTATTGAAATTTGAACAAATATTCAAATGATTATAACTTTCTTCAAAGTTAACGAATTTTCAATCTGAAAGCAGATTTGGAAGTTTTGTGAAGAGCTTTTTCTAATCAGTATGAAATTACAAAAAGTTATAAGAAATAACAAATTTAGATCAATTAACGAGGAAAATTCGAGATGAGCACGAGTTTTTACACTTTCCGGAAGCAACAACTTGCTTCATTTTCGTCAAATTCGAAAAGTTAATATGGCAGACAAAACTAGAAGATTTTCTCTACCAAACCGTTGCTAAAGCAGCTCTATACGTCCAGTATTCAAAAAAATGGCCACGTTGAGGATTTTCGCAAAATTAACGAGGAAAATTTGTGATGAGTGCGAGTTTTTTTACTTCCTAAAGCCATAACTCCGTTCAAACTCATCCAATCCCAAAAGTAAATACGCCATCATAAACTAGAAGATTTGCTCTATCAAAACTTACTAGAACTGCTCCAAACGTCCAGTATTAAAAAAACGGCTACGTTGAGGATTTTCGCACGAGTACCGCCGAAAGGTACTTTTTCGCTACATTGGCACTATTTCAACGGCTGTATATCCTTTTAAGGGCGATTATGTACTAAAGTAAGAGCAGATTTGGAATCACTGCTTTTCTCTTTCTAAGAAAAGTGATTGATTAGCGTTTCTCAACTTTAAAGGTTACATGTTTATAAATTTAACCCTGAAGAGTCCGTTAACGCAGTGTTGAATGGTGTACACCTCCCTGTAAATGCGCACGGACACTTTCAGAATTCTCTCGATTGTTCCTGAATTGAGGTTGTTTGTCCAAGGAGCCGTAGTTGAAGCGCGCGCAACAACTAGACCCTTTCTCGGATGCGCCGTGTACCTCACATCCCTTCAGATTCGGGGTCTTACTTGAAAGATGAAATATCTCTTGGAAAGCGTGCGAAATTCAGATTCTTTAACTTGTGTGGTGATAAAACACTGAAGTAACTAAGAATTACCGGACGCCTCAGAATCACGAAAATTTTGTGTGGGTGAAATATCATTTTCATTGGAAATCCTCTGGCCTGGCATCGACTCATCCTTGATATTTGTCTTCCGACGGTGATGATCCCACTGCATCAAAATGGCTCGATCTCTTCCACCCAGCGGGCCAATACGACCCCCCCCCCTGCGACGTGTCGAGGATTCCTCAACGCACGCTTGACCCTGGTGCGGACAGACACGCAATCGGCATCGAAAGATTTGACCTCTGAGATCTAGCATGGCTCAAAGTTGGCGAGTTCGGCGATCTCCGCCCACCGATCGTCTGATCACTCGCCGTAGTACAATAGGTGGCGAGTGATTAGATAGCTGAGAGAGCGTAGGGTTGAAGAGGGCAAAGCGATGAGAGTCCCATCAATGCTCAAATCAACGGACAAGGAAGGGGTCCCATTTCTCCGGTTCTGGGCCGTTTTTCGTGGTTTCGCTTTCTTTCTGGTACTACTCACCATCTCTACCTCAATTTGGAATGGGTTGCTTTTCCATCGTAAATTCGTCCTTTAACGGAGCTATTGATGGTTATAAACGCTAACACGTACTACAAGATGAGCCGGTTAGCTGACATCGACATTGAATCGCGAGACTGAAAGCTCGAGTTAGTTGGTCAAGTGAAAGCGGGTTCGAGTCCGCCAGGAGTGGGAGAGTTTTGCCAATAACTGCGCAATCTTGTGGTATCAGTGTTTTCCATTCCAATGGAAACAAGGGTCAGAAGTGAAAGTAGAATTCTTTAATACCCAGTTGAAGTTGATAGTCAGAAAATGCCATTTGCTGTTATTGAAAGGCTTCCTTCAATTGAATGAAGAAATTCTTTGTAAAGCAGAAAACACACCGGACGACATTTTACATAACATATATTACGCAACGTAATGTACAATTTGAGATCTTGAGCATCTCTCGCGCTAAGTAATCTCGTTCAATCAAGGATTCTATCCTCTTCTTGATGAGAACCGGGTTCGGGAGAAAACGATGCTTCAGCTGTTGCGTGACCTGAAAATCAACCTCAGATTTGCAGTAGATCTACCATAAACAACAAAGCCTCTAAATACACCAAGATCCAAAGAAATTATCTGAAAAAGACAACGAAGTAGAGCGCAAAATGCTTGTTCTGTTCAATGTTTACAGCCTTTGCAAGACCGGAGGGATAGAATACGACTGATACAAATCCTTCTGATACGATCTTCTTTGCACGGCTCTCGTGACAAATTCCCCTCCTTACTTCTGCGATCAGGGGGCCTGACTGGGGCCTAAACATAGTTATAACATTTACATGACCCATCTGTCGCCACTAAATATACGCTACACACCCCCTAAATAAAGCCTGCCAAACTTTCAGTATTTCGGCTTGAAAAAAAAGCCCTGATTCTAACCAGAATCTGTTTTCTAACACAAACTAACAGGACCAGTTGTTGATTTGGTTTAAGAAATTAGCATTTGATGATTAGATTGACTTTTCCATTACGAAAAAAAACTGTATAGAATGGAAGTACCTCTGTAATTAGATTATTGTGATGCAATACTTTTCTTGACTTCATGACACGAACAATTGCAGCTTCAATTTCGTGTTTTCTGTCGTCTTCTACCTGAAAACGCAAACGCACGCACATTTGCAAAAATCAAAGATAATACAAAGATTTGAGAGAATAATTCTTTCGCTTTCACATAAGGGCATGTGTGAAAAGGAAGGCAGAATTACGCCTCAATCTTCCCACCACAATATTTTTAGGTTCAACATTTCTTTGCAAACTAATCGTTTTCTTCGCAAAACCGCATAAACAAGGCTAAAACAATGTCCAGTGTGATTGCATGGGCACAATACGAGCTTCATGGTGTAATAGATCAAATCTTGGCAGCTTGCCCGCCTGGTGCCACCCGTTTTCTCTTCTCGTTATGAATAATTAGTTGCTTACCTTGCTTCTAGTTTCTTTCTTTTCCGGCTCACATTCCCCTTTGAATGTCACCAGCTGGACTTTGATCCGAGTTAATTTTGATTGAAAGTTATCGTTGACAAAGAATTCATCGGTAGCATCTGTAAAGGGACGAACGTAACATATGTTGATGCTCCTCGTCGGAAACACATCATTTACAGTTTGCTAAAAGTGAAAACTGGTTTTCTTACCGTCTTTTCCACCCAATTCTTTCTTATTGAGCAAGTGTTTTGATCATATAAGCCGTCTAGATTATCGCAGACAACTTCAAACAGTTCGTCCTTTACCTGAGCGATTAGGGTCCTTGAAGCCGGCACATTTCAAATCATCGCAAGACACACAAAATAGCTTTTCGTCGTTACGCATTTGGGGAGCAATGTGAGGGAGGGGCGCATATTAAGCGGCGTGGCCTGCTATGTACGGGGACCAAATCCCATGCTCACCCGAACAGGCCAAGTTTTCCAATTTTAAGAAACCAGTTATCAGTTGGGATATACAGGGGGGGGGCAAAAAAAAAAGACATTTTGCCTATGTCGGACTTCGGCTCTTTTTTCTTCGCAGAGATTGCTGTCGTTGACGGGAGTTCCTCAGCAGAGTATTCCCTAAGTGTCCCTCTATAAGTGAACGCAGGCTCTCCTTCACTGCCCTCACCGTCTTCAGAATATGACGTCATCTGTCACCGTCGTCAGGCTCAAGGAGGTCTACCGTAAGAGCTTCAGCCTGAAGCTCTTACGCAATTTCGTGAATCGATTTAATGTTGGATAGTTTTCTAGAGGCATTAGCTACCACTATGCAAATCCCCTCGAAACTAGCTTTCCAGTAAAGGTCGTTATGGTACACGATCCTTCGAAGACCCCATTGAGCTCGACCAGTGCACCATGTTTCCAGGGCAAATTCTTCTGATGCCGTCCACGTAGGTGGCCAACATGAAGATTTTCTTATAGAATGAAATGTGCTCTTCAATAAGTTGGGACCATTCGGTCTGAATTGAGCAAAGTGTGCTTAAATCCATCTGAAAGTGGAGACAAAATGTCTTTTTTTATTTGCCCCCCTGTATAGTACCGTACAACAACTTGCTATCCGGCCCCGCAAGTTGTTTTCTAGGCCAGGTCGTATTTGAATGCCACTGCGGTTCTGTAATAGGTCTAATGGGTGACGAATACCGAAAGGGATTGGTCAACGCCGAAGCTTTTATCCCTTATCTTTCCTCACATTTGCAGCCTCACTTATTCATTCAGCTGATAGCGCTACTAATCCCTTCATTTTCGACAAAACGGTTTGACATCTTCGTCAAGTTTTGATTACCCAGCACCTAGGACCGCCGTCACTGTTAAGACCATTATTCACAGCTATGTCAACAACCATCCGCCTCGACACATTAGCTTAGCAAGGCAATGTCTTTCCATAGCGCAAACACTGTGCAAACAACACAATTACTCATAGAAATGTGACGAATGAAGAAAAATTTGAAATTAGTAGGACCTACCAATATCTTTTCCTTTTCCTTTTCGGCACAAAACTCTCTGGGTCGGTTTGCCCATTGCAAGCGATTGCAGATTGCGTTTAAGTTCTCTCTCGTTTATATTTGTATTGTTCTGAACACCTCATATTTTTCTGGTTCTCAAAGTGTGTGCAAAGAACAGAAAACCTACCAAAAGGGCTTGAAAGGTAAGGCGGGGTTGACTATTGAAACACATGAGTATGACCATTTGATGAGTATTAACCATAAGAATTTTGTTCTCTTCTTTTCGCGTTTCTGATGACTCGGAAGTTCCTGGCTGGAAAAAATTGGATGAAAAAAATAAAAAGTTCACCGAAGTTATGTAAACGCTTCCATCTCAACTTGTAACATGTAGTTCGGAACAACTATTCGTACCTTTTTCTGTGAGGCAGCATTTCCATAGAATACAGCTTTCACATCAGCCGTACCCAACATAGTGTTCAGAGTAAGTTTTCGGCCATTGTGTTTGCTTCACGTAAAAGTTGCTGAACATCTGGAAAGGCATATTAGTAGCAAACATGCAGAGGAAAATCTTGTACTAGACAAGGAATATTACATTAAAAGCGATTTCACACGCTGGCGGAAGGATGCAGACTGGAACACTTTGCGTGGGCCATATGCCTGCCGTCAGTACACGTACAGAAATATCCATCAATCCAGCACCACGTATATACTGAAAAGAAATCTGATCGATACCGATTCTTCAACAACATATCGACCAAAGAGGAAACAAGCAAGAGTCAGGATCACGATTTATACAAAACCGGAGGACCACCGGTCAATGTGGGACGAAAAAAGAAGTGGAGGAGTTTGCTTGAGCACCTTTACTCTGGGGGTCGTTCAAGACGTAGAGCGCTATTTTTTGCACAACATTTTTGAATGTTAGAGCGGCAGGCCATGGAGCACAAATAAGGTTCATTCCTCCTGAGACCAATTCTGGAGTATGTATGAAAGAGACTGTGGTTCAGTTACCTACGAGGCCATTCAACGTACAATCTGTGCTTTTATTTGCTGAGGTGACTGCAGTACTGACCAGCGACCCTTGAGGAGTGAGAGTCACGGATGGCCTGCGCGACGTTAGATCCGGGATTTAAGCTCGGAACCATGCGCGTGGCAACGGCCACTACTACCACCCCAAGACTTAAACAGCTTCCAAGGTAAAAAAAAAAAGTACATACATTTCCGATTAGGACTCAAAGAAAACGCTCTTGGATTACTTCAGCATTCAAAATGATGGGCCTATGTGCCAAAAAATATGAAAAATGATCGAATGAAACGAAGAAAAATGAAACAAACGTTACCGATTCTCGGAACTCCTTGAAAGCGTTTAATTGGGTCGTCCATAATTCCTTGTCACGGAACATATTCTCTAACTTGAGCGTGAAATGACATCCACATTCCGCCTGAAAGTCAGCATCAAAATGAAGAGAAATTAGAAAGAGGTCGATAATACTGGCGCTACGATAAGAAAATGGTGATATTTTACAAAAGTTCAATTACAGAAAGTTAATCACAACCATGAGTGAAGCCCCTCGCGATTCCCAGATAATTCAAGCATATTTGTGAAAGATACTTGACAATGGCAGCTTGTGTTCCTAACAGCAGAGGATGCTTTTAGCGAGCAGGACTGTCATGCCTTATCGTGACTGTCCCCCTCCCCCTATTAATACGTTGAGGACAGCACGAGTTTGATTTTTTGGTTTCGGTTCGGTTAAATTTTAAAGAAGTAGGGTAGTGAAGGGGAAAAATTCCCTGTGTTGTTCACATTACTTTCTTGGAAGAGGAAAGTCCCAATTGGGAAAAACGAATAACAGAGATGTGGTAACACAGGGTTCATACCATCCCATGTAACCTGCAGAGTGAGATACCCTAAGAGACATTCTTGTAGTAGAGAAATAAAAAACAGATTCAGAGAAAAGGGAAGATGATCGGCGTTGGAAGCGCAAGGCAGTCTATCCCACACAGTTGAAGTGATCTCCGTCTTCGGAATTACAATATAATCCGTTTTCTTCAGAGCCAAAATGACAGGTCGAATTTCACTCTCCCCTTGAATTTCTGATGTGAAGTGTGAATATATCAAGAATCACCCCAGTCCTACTTTATTATAGCAGAAATAAATTCGAGCCCACCTTTAGCTTGCTAATCATCATCCTTTCCATGTCGTCAGATATACTTTTATCGAGTAGAAGACGTCTCGCCATGTGCTGCTTGTAGTATCTATAGCACAACACGTGAAGGGTAATCTATTGTCTACCAAGCTACTCATGTAATGCCGTAAATGAGTTTAACAAGATATTTTTGCATAGCTGCATCAAAAATTCTATAGAAAAGTGAAAATGAGCGGCGCCAACGCCTAATTGTGCTTGAGAAAAGCCTAATTCCTCTTCCAATTCAACAAATCTGAAATGATCCACTACTTTTCAAAGACGTCCTTCTCCTGCAAGAAACGGAACAGCACCATAGCCTTATCCAGTAGTTTCTCGGCATTTTCGTCGTTTTCCTTAAAAAATATTTTAAGGTAAAGCACTAACACTCTCGGATATCCATGAACACATACCGATTTCAATCCTTTGCGAAGTTTTTCATCCATATACAGCGATAGATATTCAGGACTATTTTTGTTCAGGTTGATGAACGTCTCAAACTCGGTTTGGATTCTATTCTTGAACATTTTGTCACGTTGGAAAGACATCAGTAAAAATTCATCAAATCTCTCCTTCAATTCCAGAAGATCCTGAAAACAGCCTTGTACTGCTTAATTGTAATGAACAAGCTCAGCCACACGATTTTACATGCATGCAACGGCTTACACTGCTCTTTTGCCCTCATGTATTTGCACAAGAAAATAGGTAATTTCAACATCTGACTTACTTCAATGAACACCACAGGAGTTCTCTCACAGTCTTCTCTAACTGTCGCCGTACCAGTTTGTCGAAGATATCTGCAAATGAACATTTCAGCACCCATGCCAATTCTAAGGTACCATGGCAAAACGTAAGATCTCCAGATCTTAACTTCACTATTGAGAAAGCGAAAGAATATATCACGGATTTTGCCCGAAAACTAGTTACTTCGCTGTCAGCAGAAAGTGTCAAGCTTGTTAGGATGTTCTATTTGAATAATTATGTAAAGATGTCCGATTAATTACTGAACAAATGAACTAGAATGCGAAAATGACAGAACTGCTACTATGACAATTACGTTAAGGTCCGACAGGAAAAATAGGATGAATTTAGCATTTAAAAACGAGTAGATTACCCGCTCATTGCATCAGCCATCACTGCTAGGCCGTTCTCCACGCGTTGAAGAAGACCATAAAGTGATGCCAGTTGATCAAACTAAACAAAAATATTCCATATAGACCTTCAATTCTAGCGCACCGAGAGCCACGCTCACAAAAACAACTAGAACAGCATGATAACTTGCACGTGCATGTTAGACATATTAAAGAATTCTGCTAAAATATGATAACTCTTCTTTCGCTAGATTACTGCAAATGGTGAGCGGGTAAAATAAACACTTTCTTATAACAGAGCTCGAGCTTGTTCTACCATGTATAACCGCTTTTCGAGGGTAAGGCAATGTTCCTAGCCTATAAAGAAGCGCGACAAAACTCTGTGCACTGGTCGATAAAGCATGGGATCCCAACACGACAACTCGAGTATAAGTTCATTTTAGAAGAAGCGCTGAACTAAACGCCACTCTGCGCTACAAGAATGCAACTCGAACATGAGAGTCAAATGTGAAAGACACTGCGCAATTCAATGAACCGCGGGCTATCGTAAAGCAGGATCGCTCTGAACAACGCTAAATACATTACACGATCCACAGTAATATTTCAATGTGTAAGGGAACATTTAATAAGAGATGGTAAACGAAGAACTACTTATGTGAAACATTCGAAGGCGAAAAAAGCTATAAGATCTATTTTTAAACTCAGTGAATTTGTTAACTCACTTCATCGTTGCCCAACATCGCATGTACGCCACTATTTTCCATATTGACAATTGTGTACATATGTTCTTTGATTAGGACATTCTCTAACACCTGAAACAAGAAAAAATAAACTTTAAGTAAAGTATACAAAGCATATGGTGTAGACAAGAGCCGAAACACAAGGACCAAGGACTTACATCGAGGACCTTTCCTTCCGTTTGTGGATCCAGGTATCGCTTTGCCCTTTCTGATTCTTCACGAATGCATTGTTCGACCTACAAGTTGTACCGTTTAATTTAAAAAAAAAACACGATTTGAACAGCAAGACGGCTTTTCAGTGATTTGAACCACAACCGATTATACATATTCCACTACTTTCCAAAAGGCTTTCATTTTCAAAAAGGTCCACACATCCAGATAATAGCGCTGACGTAAATGGTCTTTCCCGCTACAAGCATGATTGCCTTATCTGCAACTAACTTCCGCTCTCAAATTTCCCCACCTCCACGCTTGCCAGAGGACAGCAACAATTATCAACCCATCAACCGTTACCTGGGCTCACGGGGTGATGAGCCATCGCAGCTTTTTTTCCATATGGTTAACCAACAAAGTCGCACACACAAAAAGCTACATATTTAATAGATATCAAAGCTACAACTCCAGCCAGTAGCCCACGAGTAGCACAGATGTGCTGTTGTCGTGGCTCAGAGGTCGCGACAATGGCGCCAGGGGCTCACAGAGTCAGCATATGGCGACCATTTTGGCATTTCGACAAGTTATGTAGCGCACCACCCCCCCCACCCTATGACGTGCAACGTGGGTTATGGGCTGGTTAGTTGAACAGTGGAGTAGACAAGCCGCACAATCCTCGTTTAGGGCTTCGTCGAGGTTTCCTATGCATTTTTTTCACTTTTAGCCAACTAAGCATCCACAACTTTATTATCAATCGCTGAGACCCCACAAATTCGATCCAGGGTGTTGCTTCAAGCGCTCAGATTCCTCTTACTGGTCCTTCCTCTACCGCAAGAAGCCCGAAAGGAGTTGCAATAAAAAAACACCTAAATAAGGAAAATCGTAAAAAGCAGAATTAATAAAATTTTCCACCTTCTTCACATACAAACTAGCACTGTTTGACTGCAAGAAGCAGATGCTCAAGCATCGATAATATTCAGCTGTTGACACAAGAAACGGTGTCTCGAATTCATCAACGTAAACATCATGGGAGTGGATACCAAGGGCAACCAACATTTGACAAGCACTCTTTATACCAGTCCTGAAAACGAGGACCTTTGTAAAAAAAAAACAATTTGAAAAGCTCGTAAGCATACCAATTCACAACGGCACCCCGCCGCTCTTGTTGGATAAGTGACAACATTGTCGTTCTCAGATGGAGATGTATAAAATCTTGATAAAGGACTTGTTCACTGAAAAATACTCATGACATGCCGCCATATCACATCCAACAAAATATCAAAACTAACCGAAAGATTGCCAATCCAAGATGAAACACCTGCTCAACTTTGTTTTGCTCAACATATACACGATCCATGTACATCAAAATATCTCGTATCATCACCTATAAATATTGAAAAAGTGCAATACTGTACTCAGATTGAAAAGAAGTATATGTATGTAACGGAACATTTCCACATTTTGGATTAATGATCAAAAGAAAAAATACCATAGCAGTTGTGTGATCACTCCATGCTTCATTGAGGACTTCCAGAAAATCTCCTTTATCCAGTGACTCCACGATTTTAACCCGAACCTAGAAAGGTCATGGTCTTACCATAAGCAGATACATGACAAAAGTATAAAATATTCTCTTGAAAATTGCTCACGTAATTCCTTAAGTGGTCTTCTACAACTTGCTTCAGTCCAGTATATAGCCTTTCGCCGTATTTATGCAGCACCTGAAAGATTAGGTGCACATCTAGGAATGATCAATTATGCAATAACTTTAGCATCACGTTCCACTGAGACCAGCGAAATATAAAAAAGGATCGTCAGGCATTTTTAGAACAATCGAGAAAACTAGAGCTTCCTACCAGCAAACGAATAAATCAAAAGCGAAAAGTGTTGGTTTGCTCAAGCTTACCATTGTGTATGCGTTCCTATACAGCTCTTCAAAACTGAGACCGGAATTATTTTTTCTCTGAATCTCTTGAATAGCTTTCTTCAGCATTTCCCATACTTGAGTGACGTACTTCTCGTCCATTGCAGCCTTGAATGTATCGAGGACTCTTTACAGATTTCTATATCTATTAAAAAAGCAATTGAGCAAGCTAACCGGAAAATTTCGGATCCGCATGCGGCTTGATCCAGGGGCTTGGGACCTCGCACCCGACATCAGCCTGAAAGTATAAACGTACATGGTTCATTGAATCAGCAAAAATGATCGTCACAGAGTTTCCGAAATCCGCCATAGCTAGATATTCACAGCGTTGTTTCCGAAATCAATACAGCTTGAACAATTCAGGAAAGATCACCATCAAAGAACGGATAAAGCATGGGCCTACATGTAACATTCGAAGCTTATCTCAGGCAAGTTCAAAGTGCACGCAAAGAAAGACACACATTTTTCTAGTGTGTATCTCTATTTTTACGTGCCGCCAATGACACGCGCACTTCCAGCACCAGAAATTATCAACACTTTGCCCCGGGTACCCAGGTGAGTCGTAAATGAAAGCATAGCAACACAGCCGTCACGAAAAAACCATTAGGTGATCAAAAAGGAGCACACGATATGCTAAATTTTCACGGCTGTTGCTTGCTTCTAATTCTGCAGAATAACTGCATTACACGTGGCAACCGAATTGAAAAAACCGGTATAATTGATACATTTCGATGAGATTCATTACCTGGGGTAACGGCTGTGTTGGACGCATGTACCACCTTTAGTAAGGAAGACACAGTATCTGTTTATTTTTTCTGCTTCATCTTTCATCCCGTCTTTGACCACGGAAGGCTTCCAAGCTTCCAAGTTTGGAAGTTTGAAAGGAGACCTGTGTAAGCCGTTAGTCAAGAATGATGGTCACAAATATGGAGTCCAAAACTCCATGTGAACAATCCATGAAGTTGCGAGCGGTCACACTTGGTAAGAAATGTAGCGCCTGTATATGGAGCGAGCTAATCTGTCCATGCTAGACATGCTTCTTCCCTAAGGCAGGTGTCAGAGTCCGCGATCCGTCGCAGGTTTCGCGATTTTCGCGATTTGCGCGATTGCGCGAAACCTGCGACGGATCGCAAAAATTGCAAGTGCCCATTTGAACATTTGAAACACTGAATATGAAACAAGTGGAATCATGAGCAGTCGTCATTCAGCCATCACTATCAAGCAGAAGTGGCGGCAGGATTGGAGAACACCTTGCAGTATTGATCGGCACTTGGTGACCCGCGTAAAATCGCGTGAAATCGCGAAAATCAGCGAAACCTGCGACGGATCGCGGACTCTGACACCAGCCTAAAACCTTGCATATACATGTATGTATGTATGTAGAGGTAAGTGGGTGGCCTGATCACGAGGTGCAACCCATCACATTGTTCAAGCTCACGCTGTCGAATCAGCAGCCAATACATGGTCTATACTGAATTGTATTTGGGTACGCTTCTCGACAATATTCACAGCCACCACTTGGTTTCTATAAGGGGTAGACCTCTACAAGATGAAATCACTGGTGTACTTCACACGAGGATCGAATGGCGGTCTGGTCCTTACCCTTACGATTCAGTACATCTCGGGAGATATTCGTGGCACGTGAGTCTTGATTCCTATTTGCGCTGTCGGATTCAGAAAAGCCTTCCCCACCCGGAAATGAACAATAACTGACATTAGAATCACGGGCCAAAATTAACACATGAAAACAATATAGTTACTGTGAAATATAGTTACGGTTCTGATGGACCAGCCATGAGCTGTGCTCATTCTTCAGCATGCGCGCTTAAAAAGCAGCGATTACGATAAAGTGGGAGCGCGTCGTGGAAGCACATACACCACACGAATCAGAAACTTGGCAGCCAGGGAAGCGAGGTGTAGCGCTTTCACGACGCAAGATTCGATGGTTGCTGAGCAGTGGACCTTCGAAAGCACTCCGAGCTGCGTTGCCAGCAGCGGCACAACTAAAGCAACTCGACTGGAGCATGGATTGCCATGCTGTCACCAAACGCGTTGCGCTGAACTCGTTCATACGTCCGCTTTCTGAGCTGTTACCTGTTCATGAGTGAAAACCAAAGGCCAAAAAAGGGTCCCGTTTTGCGTTTTCTTGACGGATTTCTCCGCTTTTTTCGCTACTGGCGTACCAATTAGCACCACCAGTTTCCTATATACCCTTCTTGAATCTATCGTCATCACTGCCTTCAATTTTCAATCTTGTCGCCATATTTATGTCCCATCTAATTTCAGGCTAATACATGTAGCCTAAAGCAACAATCCAGGAAACGAATTCGCGGGTAAGGACCACCTATAATGACGTTGCAGGTGAGAAGTTGGTCAATGGAGAAAGAAAAAGTAGAAAAAAACGTCGGGCAGGGGCTTAGACAGGGACTCCCCCTGCCGTTTAGGGAGACGTGTGTTGGACGAGTTGTCCGAACCTGCCCGTAGTACATGCGCTCCAATTGCAACTGCTGGCAAATAGCCATGCATGCTTGCAAATACATAACTATTTGCCAGCAATCGAAATTGAAGCGCTTCAATTGCGTTCTTATGGAATCGACCTCATACAGCGCGGCGGTCCCGCAACGACCGCTAGTCGAGCAAGCGCTCTGCACAGCTGCTTGGAGGCGGCCCCACCACGGATCGGTGGATCCCGCCCCTTGAAGGATTTCGACTGCTTCCAACGCCTTTCAGAGGTAAGTTTTGAAGTTTGTGACATTTCCCATGAACTCCAATCAGGCTGAGGCATGTTTCCACCACTTGAAAACCAAATGGTTGAAACCCTGCCTGGACTGTTGCTTTAAATAAGGCATAGAACGAAAAAGAACGTAATGTGTCGAAGGGAAAATTGCAAATTAAAGGTGGCGTAAAAACGCCACTAGTAAGTAGAGGGTAATTCACAACAAAGACCGGTTAAACAAAACATCATAAGCGGAAAACAAGTAGAGATATCAAAAAAAAAAACACTCAACAAAAAGCAAACTTTCGAGAGGACGTCCCCTTCACGTTTTGGAAAAAATGGTTTCCATTGTTAGAGAGTGCATTTACACCGATTTCGATGCGAAAACTTATCAGAGGCAAGCTGAGTTGTGGACAAAACATCTTGCCACAGTCGAGAATCGAACGTCCAGATCGACCATGCGATCCAACGTTCGCACGATAGCACGTTCGATGTATTGGCCGATGTCAGAGTCTGCGATTGGAGCGATCGGTCAAATGCCAATCGCGCGACCATCGCGCGATTCGCGCGACGATCGCGCGATTGACATGAGTCCCATCATGACCAATCGCTCCAATCGCGCGATGGGCGCGATCACTCCCGTTGTGGCTGGCGCGCCCCTCTCGATCGATACGTCAGTGAACGTATCGATCGAGAGGGGCGCGCCAGCCACAACGGGAGTGATCGCGCCCATCGCGCGATTGGAGCGATTGGTCATGATGGGACTCATGTCAATCGCGCGATCGTCGCGCGAATCGCGCGATGGTCGCGCGATTGGCATTTGACCGATCGCTCCAATCGCAGACTCTGACATCGGCCATTGGCTTAAATCTACCACTTCATGAAAGTCAAAAGAATGACCACAGAGCATCACATTTTAACCCCGCCGCGTGCTGCGATCTACATTCCACGGCACGTCGAGGTAATCGACAATCCTCATGAGTGCTTTGACGCTACAAGACACTGAAATCACTGAACACCATTTTTTTCATATTTTTCTTTAGTTTCGACGCCTAGAAATCTGCCGTGACGATGGCATAATGAGCGAACAGTCCTGGATATTGCGGAACTAATGAGAAAATGGAAATCCGTATATGGAGTCGACTTTCTGCAAGCCATGCGTATACAGGAGTCAAACTTTTTGCAACCAATCGCTAGCGAATCGCGCGATTAGACGATTCGAGCCACACACCAGCGTTCGAGCAATGCGGCAACAACACCAGTGATGCGCAAACTACTAGTCACTTGCGCATCACCCTTGTTCGAACCGCTGGTGAAAATCGCCATTAGTCTGTATAGAATTTCGATTTGCTTAAATAGTGACTGATAGCAAAGTCTGACGGCCTCGTATTTAGGTGCGAAAAAGTCACAGAGCCGTAAAAAAACCGTTAAAAAACACAAGAATGGATTTAACTGTATACCAACAATAGTAAAAGCGTATGAGCTGTGACTCCACGAGGTACATATCGTGAGGTATAACGTTTGAGTCGCGACAGCACGCAGCACTCAAATTGACTTAAAAAAGGCGCGCCTTTATATCAGGTTAGCACCAAAAAACAAAACAAATCACTGTGCAGAAATAATCTGATGGGACATCTTGATTCTATCGCTTATGGTAAGCACGAAACCCCGGGAGGGATGATCCAAGGAAAATAAGAATGTTTCACGCACCCCGGCCCCCACCTCTGAAGCTTAGTCGAAACTGTATGTTAACCGTGACCCGCATAGTTATGGTTACTGAAGGTATTTTCCAACCCAAATTAGACACCGAATAATTTCCTATGCAGGACGGTACGATCTATTCCAGTAAGGAAGGAGGGAAAGGGAGGGGGCATGTCGCGAATTTCGTGCCACCAACAGGTCAGGGTCAACAAAGCGTTGCACAGTTCTCCATGAGGGGGGAGGGGCGGCGTATTATGGGCTGGTGAAGGTCAGAATGTGGAAAAATTTAGTTGCATTTTCGGAAGTTGAAGGAATCGTAGTGGTAGATGCAGTCATGTTTGACGGAATTTGTGACTAATTTCGGGAAAACTTCATGAGAGAAGCAAGTAGTAGAGAAGAAAGGTATTCCACCTCTGTACACATATTACCCCCTCCCCCTCCACACGCCCCCTCGCTCGACGGCCTTATGGAGGAAAAAGGTGAGCCGTTGGGCCGCATCGACATGGTCTCACCATCAGAGTTAAATACTGTAGAAACAGCCATGATGGTGAAAGTTGCGTTCTGACATGTACGAGGAGGAGAAAGTCGCATCGGAGTACACCCCTAAGGGTGATGGTGATGGGAGTCATATAGACCACCCTAAGGGGGAGGAGTCGTATA